TAAATGCTAAATCAAAAAAGTGGTCATTTATAGACAATGGGAGAGTACAATGGCATTGCTACTTGTCCCTTTTCTCTCCCTGACTTGGCTGCCATTTTGAAAATGGAGGCCATGTTCACAGTGTAGGACCACCATCCCTGGTTCCAGAGAGAGCAGACAGAGTAAACCTTGCCTTTAATGAACGTGATTATTTGTTTTCACGTGTCTGGAGGCTACTTGAAGGACAAACACAAGATGCTTGTGTTTCTTTCATCTATCACAGAACTTTCTCAGGGTGCCATAAAGAAGAAATTCTTAAATTCATTGAAAGGCAGCCTGCTGGACAACTGGGTCAAAAGAGTACAATCAAGGTAAGCAACAATTACTTTGAAAGCTTAGGAGAAAGAGGGGAGAGATCTTTGAACAATTAGGGCATTACAAACTCCTGCTTGTTCTGGGTACCTAGAAAGAAACATACATGTTGAGGGCTAGACACATGCTCAGACAAAACCCTAATCTTTCACCTTTGGTTGGTTTTAAGGTCTGTGCAAGAAGGAAGTAAAGGCTAAGACAGAGCTGTAAGTGTCGCCTAAGCATTGAGCATCTTCCCCAACACAGAGCCAATCAACAAAGACTAGGAAAGGTTTCTTTGCTCTTCCAATTTTGGCTCAAGGCATTCAAGGAAATCTCCGTCAGAAACAGCCAAGGCCCAGCTGCTGTGGTGTAGACAGCATGCTGCTGCACAATGCTGGAAACAATGTGGGAAGACTTTGGGTTCATCCCCACAGTTCTGGCTGACTTCAGGGATGGGGAGAGGATCGCACATGAAGACCCTTTAAGGGTGCCTCGCTCTCAGTCTATCTCCTCTTAGAAATTAGTAAATAAACTCAAAAAATCACTAGCTGACTACAAACTAAAGAAATGATGTTTCAGAGACCATATATGACAAAGAATATAGTCTTTATGAAAATAATTTAGAAAGGTCATTGACTAGACAGCTATTACAATAAGAAACCAAAATGCATCTTGAGGAGGGGAGAAGTTGATTTCCACAGTTACACTGTAATATCCATCCAAAATATCCAGTTTTCAAGGTTTGTTTAGTATGAAGCAAGCAAAAAACAAAACAAAACAAAAAAAACCGGAAATTATTGATATTTCAGAAGAAATGCTTTTTGGAAGAAATGAAAAGAAACTGTCATTGAGGAAGTATATTGAATATACTAAATAAAAACGTTAACTCAGCTGTCTTAAATATGTTCAAAGCTAAAAGAAACTACAAAGAGCTAAAGGAAACCATGAGACTAATGTCTCAGTAAATGCAGACTAGAAAGAGACTAGACTTTAAAAAATGCACCAATTGCAAATTCCAGAGCCGAAAATCACAGTAACTGAAATAAAAAATTCACTAGAGGATTTCAACAGCTGATTGAACAGGCAGAAGAAAGAATCTGCAAATGAAAAGAGGTCAATTGAAATTATTCAGTCTGTCAACCTAAAATAACAGAGAGAGTTTCTCAACAAACTAATCAGGAAATACGTATGCCATGGCATCTGGTTGGGGAGGGACGCATAGGCATACCCAGAAAGGCAAAGGAAGGCAAAGATTTTTTTTTATTTTTGTTTTCTTTTTCAACACAATGGAACTAAATAAATCCCTGGTCACGTGGCATCTGGCTTCCTCTGTGCCTGCCAAATTGCTATGCTATGGGGCTGACCCTGTTCTTTTATTCATGATAGACCACATGTGTGTACACACAGAGTGAAAGAGAGAGACAGAGGAACACTCCTCACAGGTCTGGTCACTTCGTAATCCCCTTCCTCCAGACCTCCAGCCTACCAGATCCTGGGCGTTCATGTATATGTTGGGTGTGATCTAGGCAGAACAGGCCAGGGATTCAAACCAAGGTCACCCTGTGGGATTCCAGCTCTCTTACGCAGTATATTACTATTACCTCTGGACCAACCTGGCAAATATTTGTAAAGGTAAAATGACTAAGATTACACAAATTGTTTTGAAATAATTATTCCTGGCTATAAGGGTCAATAACAAGGGTGACGTCAGTCCAAGGTTGAGCATGCAGTTGCTAGGCAGACATCCTTGAAGTCCTCATTGTCTAAGGTTACTGTGGCCTTTATACAATGTTCAGCTTGCAGCAGTCCTTGTAGCTATTTTTATCATAGACATGTGTGCAAGGGAGCTTTTTCATGGTCTCCAAACACCATTTTAATAGGATTTGACATAAGTGATTACATTTTGATTCTGACAAATTTCAGAAGCCTGAGGATCAAAGAAAAAAAAGTAAAGAAAAACAAGCAGATGGGGCCAGCAAGTGGCGGAGTAGTTATGTCACTGGACTCCTACAAGGCTGATCATGGTTCGAGTCCCAGACACAGTGACTTGAAACTCATGCCAGGCACGTGTGCATGTGTGCCCAAAATCCCAAGAGGAGAATGATGGAGAAGAACTTGTGGGGTGAACATCCCCCTGGGGGGGGGGTGATTTCTCTCTTTCTGTCTCTCTCTCTCTCTGTGTCTCTCTAGCAAGCATACATATCCTTTTGCAAAAATCTCTCTCTCCTCCCCCCGCAAAAAATAAGCAGAGCCTTAGAGGCCCCTGAGACACCATCAGCCATAACATATATGAATAATAGAAGCTCCAGAAAGAGAAGAGAGGTGAAAGAGGAAGAAGGAATATTTGAAGAAATAGTAACTTGGGAACCAGCAGTTAGCCTAATGGCTATGTCGCTGGATTCCCACGTAGTCCACCGCGGTTTGCGTCCCGGACCCAGTGGCTTAAAACTCACGCCAGGCGTGTGTGCATGCGTGCCCAAGATCCCGAGAGAATGGAGGAGAAGGGATTGTGGCGTGACCATCCCCCCTGGGGGGTGATTTCTCGCTTTCTGTCTCTATGTCTCTCTCTGTCTGTCTGGCGAGCGCACATGCCCTGTAGCGAAAACCTCTCCAAAAAAAAAAAAAAGAAATAGTAACTAAAAAGTCCCCAAACTTGGTAATATACATGAGTCTACACATCCAAGCTCAATACTCTCAGAAGAACAAATACTTCCGAGAGTATTAAGTATCTGATCCACACTGATACATTGTAATCAAATTATCTTGAAAACAGCAAAAAAGAAATTACTCCTCACATGTGAGGATTCTCTGCAGTTAACAGCCAGTTACTCAACAGAAATGAAGGCCAAGAAAGCAATGGAAAGACTTTTTAAAGTGCTAAAAGAAAAATACTATCATACAAGAATTCTACCTTCGACAAAACTATTCTTCAAAAATAAAGAAGCGAGACTATTCCAGATAAGCAATTCTGAGAAAGTTCATCTATAGTAGGCCTACCATACAATAAATGCTAAAGGGAGGCCTTCAAGAAGAAATGAAAGATACTAGATAATAGCTTAAAGCCATATGAAAAAATGAAGAATCGTGGTATCGACATTCATGTAGGTAAATGTTTTCGAAAAGAGTATTCTAATATTTTCACTTGCAAACAATTTTTCCTACATGATTTAATAACTTATGTTAATAATTATAAATTTATGCTTATGGGTAGATAATGCATGTAGTAGTTCGTGACCACAACATAAAAGTGGGAGGACAGAACTGTGCAGGAGCAGAGATTTGTATAGAATTTCTTTTCTTATTTTTTTAATTTATTTGTCATTGTTATTTTTATATGACATTTAATCATATATATCCTTACAGTGTACAGCATTTCTCTTCCCAGCATGATTACCATGCAGATCATTCAAGACAGAGACATTACTATCCATATGAGTTTTGTATAGTATCAAAGCTAAGATGGTTTTAATTCCAAATAAGCTGTCAAAAGTTTAAGAGGTTAATTGTAATCTCCAGGTAACTATTAAGAAAATTGTGTTGGGAACCAGCAGTTAGTGTAATGGCTATGTCGCTGGACTCCCACGTAGTCGACCTCGATTCGCGTCCCAGACCCGGTGGCTTAAAACTCACGCCGGGCGCGTGTGCGTCCATGCCCAAGATCCTAAGAAGAGAATGGAGGAGAAGGGATTGCGGCGTGGCCATCCCCCTGGGAGGTGATTTCTCGCTTTCTGTCTCTCTGTCTCTCTCTTTCTTGCGAGTGCATGTGCCCTATAGCAAAAACCTCTCTCTCAAAAGAAAAAAGGAATTTAACAACAAAAAATATATAAAATAAGAAAAAAAAAAAACTTCAAAATGACAGAGTAAGTCCTTCCTTATCAGTATTACTTTAAATGTAGATGAATTAAACTCTAAAAGACAAATTAGAAGCCAGACAGGGACAGGATGGCAGAATTCAATTCAACCCTCTACAAGGCTGGCTTACATGGGAATGTTCTCGATTCCTGTCTGGAGACCTCCCTGAGTACACCAGGCATGCCCTGCCATGAGCGTTGGAGAACTAAACTCTCTGGTATCACTGAAAACAGCACTGGCACTATTTGTAAAGATAGTACAGGAAAAAAAGGGTAAGTAAAAACATAATTTGGCCGTAGCTCTACAATACCCACTAGAGCTGCAGAATAACAGGACCACTATTTACCGCTGGGCCCAACATTAATGTATCACGTGCAGCCCAACAGCTGATTAGAGACCACAAACAGTAACAGGCCAAGCGGAAATTCAATTTACTGGCGATAACCCTCACTGTTCAGATCTGTGGCCCTCAAGTGGCTGGCTGCAAGTTTCTCTGATGACATTTTTGGCAGTCTTAATTAAAGGAGTGGTACTGAGGGTCTGTGAGGAGCCTCCAGGAAACAGCAGAGACTACAGCTCCAGGCATCCGTGCTCTGCGCCGTAAGGTCCAGCCCTCACGTGGTGGTCCACAAGCCAAAGTCGCCAAATACGTGGGAAGGTGTCGCCTCTCAGCTGGGTAGCGCTGCGGTGTCAGCCAGGTGACAGCTCGTGGTCACGCCTCCACTCGCTCTCCTGCGGAGAAGAGCCCTGGAGGCAGAACAAAGCCGGCAGGAATCCGGGGTTCCCTAGACTACCCAGCCCCGCCCACCCGCAGCGCCTGGCAACCAAGACCACCCAGGGACGTGGCAGAAAATGGAAAAGCCTCCAGAAGAGGCTCCTGCGGAATCCAAATCCTTAGAACATGAAAGCTCAGCCGCGCCCGCACCTGCTGGCCACACTAATGGCCAGGAAGTAGATAACCAGGCCGAAGCGGAAGTAGATGACCAAACTGATCCCAGAATAGCTGGCCAGACTGCCCACAGTGCGTCTGGCCAGGCGGAATCCTACATATTGGACAAAGTACCTGAGAACATCGGGCACAGAACGTCTGGTCAGGCTGACCACAGAGGCTCTGAGCAGATTGACCAAACATCCTTTCAACAGAATGATGGCCAGGCATCTGATCAAACTGGTAACCTGGACAATGAAGCAGCTGAAGACCTGGTACCTTACCTGACTAACCAAAGATCTTCTGAACCAAGGTGGCCTAACCTGACTGAAAGAAGAACCTCTGAGCAAACTGACCGGAGACTGTCCAGCCACGCTGAGAGAAGATCTTCCCAACAGACTGAACACAGATTATCCAACCAGGCTGAGAGAACTTCTGAGCAGATTGACCGGAGACTGTCTGGCCAGCCTGAAAGACGAACTTCCCAACCGACTGACCGCAGACAGTCGGGCTCAACTGACAGAAGAACTTCCCAACCAATTGACAGAAGACTGTCCACCCCATCTGAGAGAAGAACCTCCCAACAGATAGAACGCAGACTGTCCAGCCAGGCTGAGAGGAGAGCTTCCCAGCAGATTGAGGAAAGATTGTCTGTCCTGGCTGAGAGAAGAGCTTCCCAGCAGACTGACCATAGACTATCTAGCCTAGCTGACCAAGGAACTTCTGAACAGACTGACCACATATTGTCTGACCGCTTTGATCACAGGGCATCTCTAAAGACGAATCAGCAACTGTATGATCAAGCTCCTGAGCTAGCTAAACCCCAGGCCAATGGCTCTGCTGCTCCGTATACAATGGATAAGACTGACTACCATGCTGACTACAAAGAAGACCTGTCTTACCACGGAACACTTGACCAGTCTGAGGACAGACTGTTTCCCCAGTTTGGTCCCATCAGAGAGGACCAAGAGGCTGGCTACAGAATACAACCCTGCAAATTTGAGGATAGCCAAACAGAGCTTGGTCCCAAGCTTTCAGGTGCTTTAGAAACAGAAACTGAAGGTACAGCTATTTTCCAAACCTACAACCTAGTCGATGCAAAGTTCACCAGTAATTTCCAAGCAAAAGACCAAGCCTCTGCCCCAAGATTCCCCTCCATCTCGCACAAAGTGGACTGTATCCCCAGTCAAGAAAAAGTTCAAGCTGTGGAAACCAATCCTGTAGGTTAAAGGAGCATTTGGTTCCTATCTGGGAGGTTGGAGGGCCTGCAGGGGCAGGGAGAAGGGGCAGGAGGACACATGTTACATGAAGGATGTAAATCCACATGTGGGGTGTGTGACTAGTACATCTTAGGAGGAGCAAGAGAAGGGCAGTAAATTAAAGAGATGTTTTGTCTTCTCTATTATCTTAAGGCCATTGAGGAAAGATCAATAAACCAAGATTCAGGAAACCTGGGTTTCAAGTCCTAATTCTGCTATTAACTCTGTGACACTAAATCCTTTCTCCTCTCTAAGATTTTATCAAGGGAAAGGAATTTGGAATTGACTGGAGAGCTAAATGAAGAGAAAAGTATTTCAAATATTGATAGATTGGAGATGCCTAAGGTATTTACTGGTACATTGTATTACCCAGAGGATCATCTAGGTCTATCATAAAAATATGTCTCTCCTCCAAGTCTGGTATTAAGATTACATCAACACTAGATTCTACTGATAACAACATGAAAATCCTTGGGCTCTTAGATTGATTAAAACTCTTGGGGTGGGCGTTATTTTAATTTCAGAATGATACTTCAGCTTCAGGATCTGAGCAAGAAAAGAATTCTCAAACATACAGTCAAACCTACAAAAGGAGGTTCCCTCCAATAGTGTATGAAGATCCTTATCAAGTGTCACTCCGATACATGGAGAAACACCATATTATGCAAATATTCCAGGTAAACCTCTCAATCCCTCTATTCAAACCAAGTTTTTCAAGAGATACAAGAAAAGGTGTTTGCTATGAAAAAGGATATACGAATAACCTAATGGGTGAAGTTAGTGCACTTATTAAGATGTCTTTAGCACAGTAAATGATAAACACCAAATGAACGATACCATGACAAGAAGTTCTTCAGAGGGATTAGAGAAGTCAGGTAGCTTGGCTGAAAGGGGAGAACTTGGCCAACAGTTCAAGTTTTAGCCAGACTAAAAAGGAAAGACAAAATATTGTCCATTGAAAAGGTGAGAAAAAGGCTTTCCAGGCCAACCTTGTGGCCTTCTAAGAATCTACATTCCTTTTATCAATTTATTTATTTTTCCACTCATGCCAGAGCATGTGTGCACATGAGAGAGGAAGAGAGAGAAGGAGAAGCACCCTCCATAGAAAGTCGGTTTTGCTGTGAGTCTCCTTCCTCTAGTCCTTCATTCTGCCCGGATCCTGGATATACACACACATGTCCAGGCTGTTTCCAAGCCAGCTCAGCCAGGGACCCAAACTGACTTCTAGCTCTGTAATCCAACCCTGTGCCACTGTGCCCAGAGGCTGGGCAGAATCTACATGATTTAGAAGGTAAAAGAAACATTTAAAATTTGTTTTTAACTCTTGAAATTACCTTTTTTTTTTTTTTTT